TATTGATTTAAAAACATTTAATACAGTGGACCACTGCATCCTTTTAGGTAAACCAAAGCTCTGCGGAATAAAATTTATTATTGGATTAAAGTTTCTTACCAAAAGAAAGAAATCTAATATATAATTACCAAAGTTACTGATTCTCTGATTTCGTAACGCTGTAAATAATTACTAATTAGCGGTTAATAATAATAAAAAAAAAGCACTTTAATTAATTAATCAATTAGTTTAGACGCCATCCGGTGCAACATCTTATCGCAGTTTAGATGTGTTTTAAAAAATCAAAAATTTCACTTCTCAAAGTAAATAGTTATTTATATAATAAGTAATATATAATAAGTGATAAATTTGTACGTGTTTAAGTAATAAATCATTAATGTGTTTATAAGTGTGATAAATGTGTTAATAATGTGTCTAAGTGATAGTTAAGTTGATAGTAATGTGTTTAAGTGATAAATTGATAATGTGTTTATAAGTGATAAATAAATAATAATAATAAAAAATAAAAATTCATAAATGTAGATGTTTGCTAAAAAAGGTGCCGCAGGCGCCCCTGACTTTAATATTTATTAAGTATATTTAGTTTAGTTTAGTTTATTTTGTAATCGATCATAAAATTACAAAAAAAAATTAAAGCCAATAATAAAATTAAAATGATCGATGAAGAAGGGCAGCACCAGACTCCTCTGTTCTGACAGTCTTGTGCTGAATACAAAGCAGTTATAATTAGATAAAAAAAGTTTTTAAAGGAGTTGACACTTTGCGCATCAATAGTCTTTTGCGGGAGAGTGTTCCAGTAACGTATAATTCGATTTGTAAAAAAATGTTCTCTTTAATACAATGATTTACTCTTTGTTTATCAAGACACTGACTGTGACTTCGAAGATTGTAATTCAGTTTAGCTAAGTGTTACGTCTGTGGCACATAAAAAAGATCTCGTCAATGTTACGAGTAATTTTGAATTGCTGAATAAGGTTGCCCCCTGTTCAGCGGTCTTCAAGAGTCGTTTAACCTAATATTTGCACTCTTTGGGCGTATGGTAAATGCTTTAATGGTGCAACTATTTTTGTCGTACGCTTCTGCACTTTTTCTGTTGCGTTTTAGAAACGACGAGATGCGGGCGAATATTAGCTATATACAATGTTCTCCAAAAAAAGATACCTCGACTGCGGAATGCTTTTTTCAGCCTACCAAGTATTTGATTGGCCGTTGAGGCTGCTGTCTTAACTTGATTTTTTAAACGAGTGATAACAAAACTGGGTATAATTAAAAGTATATAAATATATTTTCAATTGAGAAATTTACTTTTTTTAGTTTTCTTTTGAACATATAATAATTCCATTCATGAGAAAAATCAAAATTTTTAAAATTATTTATTTCCATAAAAAGCTCCAGGAAAAGAAATGCAAAATTTACCAAAGTTTGTTTGAAATTTTGGTTGTTTAATAAAATTATCATTTCTTAGAGAATATTTATTTTTATCTTTTAAAGAATATAAATCAAAAAAGAAGCTGGAAACATTTACTTAATATATATTAAAAACATTCATGTTAAATAAGAGTGGCCTTGAGTGAGTAAAACAATTTTTGAAATTTATAAGACGTGCAATATGCTTCTGCTGACAATAAAGTGACTTTAATTTACTTTTATGGGTACTACCTCAGGCAATATTAGCATAATTAATATGACAGTGTATAAAAGAGTAATATAGTTGTGTTAATGAATGTTTGTTTAAAAAGCTTCTTGCTTTATATAAAACTCCAATGCTATTTGCAATTTTGTTGCATAAATGTCCGATGTGATTCTTCCATGATAAATTTTCATCTACAATGATACCTAGAAAATTTATGAAATTATTCTTTTTATTTGAATATTATCAATATGAAGAAGAGGCATATTACTTGGAAGTAAATGTTTTTTAAATCGTGGATGAAAGAAAATCCTTTTAGTTTTATCAATGTTGAGTGAAAGTTTATTTGACTTAAACCAGTCAGATATTTTTGTTAGTTCAATGTTCATGTCTTAAAAAAGTTTATTGATGTTATTATTAGATAGAAATAGGTTTGTATCATCAGCAAACATTATAGTTGTTAATTTTGAGACTTCATGGAAATCGTTAACATAAATTAGAAATAATAAAGGCCCTATATAGATCCCCGCGGAATTCCACAGGTTATATTTAGTTAATCTATATTTAGATAATCTTGTGAAGAAGATCCGTGGACATAAACAAATTGTTTGGGATGTTTTAAATAGCTTTTTAGTGGTTTTAAAACATTACCATGAGATACCATAATGTTCAAGTTTTTTAAACAGTATTTCATGGTCAATTGTGTCAAAAGCCTTAGATAAGTCTATAAAGACACCTAAAGTAAACTCTGACTTTTCGAATGAATCAGTTATACTACGAGTAAGATGAATTATTGCATGTTCAGTAGAGTTGTTTCTTATAAAATCGTATTGATTTATGTAAAGTATATTATTAACAGCAAGATAATTAGATATTTGGTAGAACATAATTCTTGCTAAAATTTTTGAAAAAACAGAAAGGATAAATATTGGTCAATAATTACTGAAATTTGATGGGTCACCTCATTTAAATATAGGTGTCATTTTGGCTATTTTTCAATTGATCGGGAAAAATTCCTTGATTTATAGAACATTTAAAAACTTTAAAAAGAATATATTTAATGGTATTGTATGAATCTATGACTATATTATAATTTATATCATCAGGACCGACTGCTTTACTAGTTATAATCATTTTAAAAGCACTTTCAAATTTTGAAGAAGATACTTCAAATTTATTAAAACTAGAGATTAATGGAAAAACGTAATCATTTATTGGATTAATCATATTTGGAATATTTTTAGCTAAACTTGGGCCAACAGATACAGTAGCTGCTAGTCTTGCCTTTAGCTCATCCATTTTTGCGCTGTTTAGAGATTATGTGATGTTGGCCCAGAAGCGTAAATGTGTGGGATTTGAAAATGTTATGTTTCTAATATACTTTTTTCTGAAGGTCTTGGTGTTTAGCTGATCTGGCTTAGATCTGGATTTTGGTGGTCTATATAAAATTCTTTTACTTGATGAGAAAACTTCATTTTTAATTAAATATCAAAGTTTTATTTGAATTTCATTAAAACAAATTACCACCATAATTTTAAGTTGTAAAATTGATTTACTTCTATTGGGTGTTTTAAGACAACAAAGTTGTGGTGGTATAAAACTTTTAGTTTATAGCTAGGGTTAACTCTCTAACTTTTTAGTTATTATACTCTACAAATAACTTTTTAAAAAAATAGCTGTTATCCTAAAACTCAAATAAGGGGTTAGAGGAATTATTTATTTATTTTTTTAATATTTTGTCCTTTAAATATAAACACACAGATTCTTAGAAAACAAGCGCCATTACAATGCCTTTTATGATAACATGTTTATCTGGTTGAAGATCTCGTATTAAACTAATCCTTAACGAACAAGCAACCATTATAAAAAATGACCAGTACTAAGCTTTTTAACTTTGTTAATTGCTATTTATTACATCTTGCAGAACTGTTGAAAGGTTCATGTGCTCGCATTGCTTTAATTTGTTGGGCTCATCTACATTTAATCAATTTTTAACTTATTCATTCGAATGGAACGGTAGCTACCTGTTTCAACTAAGCTTTAAAGTTGATTGGAAATTGTTATTAGTATAAAAATACAGGATTTGAACAGTAATGCGTTTGAACACAAATAAGTCTTAATAAAGTTAATCCACTCATTATCTTTGCTAAAAACGTTTGAATCCCCATCTTCAAATGATCAAAATTTTGTTTTGATCATTTGAAGATGGAGATTCAAACCAAGCATAAAATTATACAAAACGCTAACAAATAAATTTTGATTCATATTCAATCAATTGGCTGCTAACTGCTGGTACTTTAACTGTCTGAAAATCTTTTCCTGCTGTTGGAGATGTTTCTAGCGGGAAATATCCATCGTTAACATATTAAGCATTTTAAAAGGAGCAGCCTCATAAATATGGCAACAGCGCCGAGGCCTCAGGGTTGTAAGAACAAATTTGAAAAAATCAAAAGCGCAGATTCATTGTATGCATTCTACTCCTTTTAATGTAAAAAGAATCTATCTACACCTAACACAAAATGCAATAGATAATATTCTTTATTAGAATTACAGTTCTCAATGAAATATTTCAAAATTCTTGTAATTATTTAGTTTCTTCTAGCTGGATACGTGTAGGCACTTAGAAGTTTGATTTATATGCTAATTCGTGGTGGATTATGGTAAAGGAGTGTTTCTCGAAAAATTTTTAGAATCAGTTTTAAAAACTTTTTCTGAGAATTCTGCGACAAGCTTCACTATTTGTTTAATTGCTTACGTAGTCGAGTCTCAAATGTTATAACAAAGTTACTTTCAATGTGATATATTTCATTATCACTTATAAATTTCAATAATAATAAAAAGATTGTTCATCCAGAAAGCTTCTTTTATTAATTTCTAAACTATTATTATTTGCAATTTTTCCTATCTGAATTTTACACCTCCCTTTTGCAGCGGCAAAGGACCTACGTCATAAAAGTTAAAAATTATAAATATAAATTAACTTATAAAACATAAATAATAAATAAATTTTACAAAACATAAATAATAAATATAAATATAAATTAAAAAACACATTTTATAAAAAATATGTTTTTAAATTAATATTTATTTGTAAAAACATTTTTACAAAAAAAAAATACATGTATATTATTTTTGTAAAAATGTTTTGATTAGTAAAAATTTGTTATTCTTATTCCTTTAAGCAACTGACGATTAATAATTACTTAATAATTAATAAGTATTTGATAACTAGTAGTTCATTAATAATTGATAAGTATTCGATTATTAATAATTAATAAGTAGTTTCCATAAGTTTGGTATAAATAATTGTCTTGAATTCTAAGTAAACAATGTAATGAGTTAAATATTATTGATTTAGAAATCTAAAATGTAAAAACTAGTTTACACTTTATTAAGTACAAGAAGCTAAATACAATGTGATGTTACAATGTTATTGCTTTTTTACACAAGCAACATTAAAGTTACTTGAATTTATGTTAAAAAGTACAAAAGCATTTTAAATACAAGCATAAAATTCATGTCACGTCTTTGAATCGTTTTTTTCTTTTATTGTTTTGAGTTCTATATCGATTCTTTCTTTTGCACGAAAGACCTATTAAATCAAATAATTATAAGAATTTGTTTTAACAAAAACTTGCCATTATTATTTTGAAATAATAATAAAAAATAAAAAATAAAATTAATGTTTACCTTAGATTGTAAATAAAACGAGCCTCCAGTTTTTTTATCGTTAATATTAAATAAATAATCAAAACTCTAGAAAAATAATTAAAAATACAATTTTATTACTAGTTGTAAGCAAAAAGAGTACTTAAAGTGGATAAAGATAATAAAGTGAAAATAATTGGATTTTTTGATAATTTCATATCTTCTACAACTATAAGTATCGATAATAACATAAACTGCTTTAAACATAATAATTTAAATATTTAAAAATATATTAAAAAGATGTAATTGTTAAAAATATATGAAAAATTAATTCCATCAACACGGTAATTGAATTGGTAAAAACCAATTTATAAACCTAAAAATTAATATATTAAAAAAAAAGCCTTATATTTAAAAAAAAAAAAACAACAGCTTATTTAATATTCCCAATTTTCAAGTGTTTTTTTTTTTTCTCAAAAAACAAAAATAAAAAACCATGCAAATTTATACTAAAATATATATGATATATTGATGGTAAACTGTTTGAAGCAACATAGTTGTTTAAATATTGAGATGATTAAATATTGGGACTAAATATTGGGATGTTCATAACTTAGTCTTTTAAAGATTCAGGTTCAGAAAAAAAAAAGATGAAATTCATAAAAATGACTGCAGAATTTAAAAATTCACAAATTTATCTTAATTTTTGTAGCTAGAGATTCAAAAATTTCAGAATGATAAAAAATTTTTTAAAGCCGTGTATTTTTTCCTACTTAGCTTGGA